TTTGTGTTATTGTGTGTAAGTCACACAGAAGGTGCTCTTTGGGAAGCTGCTGTGCCTGATGCTGTGTGCTCACTTGCTTTTTCCTCCATCACTGCATCACACAGCTCATGACTGGACCACTCCTTAGGCACCTTTGTACCTCTCCCTTTGTTACATGTAATCTTATTTTCTCTCCCCAGTTTCCCTGTATGTCCAGAGGCAGTGACAGCTCTGATAGCACCATGATCTGTATCACCAGGTAGAAACCCTTTACCCTGAGCTATTTCAGACAAGCTGACCCATTACTGGAATTTGCTTAGTAAAAGCTGATAGTCTTTGCTTTATTATTTCCTGAATGCAGGGAATCCAGTTTTATGGGTTGTTTTTTCTTTTGCTTCAGTGCAAGCACTCTGCAGCTGGAGCTGTGGCCTGACAACTGCTTTGCAATAAAACAATCTGAGCCTCCTTTATTCTGCAATTAGGATTCCTTCAGCTGTAACATCACCAAGCACACTGTTCCCAAATACCTTTTTAATTAACTTTCCCAGGTGCCACTTCACTTGCCAGCAGGGATCAGCTTCTCTGTCTTCGCTTTCGATGAGATCCAAGTTTTGGATGGAATTTCCGATCTCCTCCCCGGTGAGACAAGCGATGCCGCTCTTGGAGTACGAGTCCTGGAGCTGCAGCAGAGGGAAAAGCCAGGATTTTTCATCCATGTGTTTGCAGCTGTGGTCTGTCACTGTATTCACTGAGTGCTAAGAAACACACTGTGTTTTCTGTAAAGCATTTGCTGGCATGATGCAAGTAGGGCTATATGAACAACAAGAGGATTTAATTCAGCCTGGTCTGACATATTTAAATATGAGGGCATTCCTCACATGCAAAAATATGCTTGCATTATCTCTATGGACATAAACTTGGTATCCACTACTCAGCTTAATAGGTTTTGTGAAAATTCAGCACCCAAATCCCTGATGTTGGAAATACTTTAGATTCTCTAGTTCTGCATTAGAAACATTTACTTTGCACAAGATTGTTTTTTAAACAAATTATTGAGGATTAAATCAAATATCAGAACTCAAAAGTATTTTCTATGCTGTCTTTTCAGAACAATTGCATTTATAATCAAGACCTTTGCTGTTATATATATCTGTACCATATCCTCCCCATATCCAGTCTGGGGTGTCTCCTAACAGCATTTGTCCTAATAGTCCAGACAACTGAAATGACATTTGAGTCCAAATAAAATTATAATGCTAGATTGTTTTGACATGAAAATATCAAATATCTATCTGTATCCCCTAGTCATGGAGAAAACATTTTTCTGCTAAGATTGAGGAGACTGGCAAAACTCCTTTTGGCTCAAAGGGAATCTGACTGGGAGAGTTTTCCTAGTGGAAAGCTCTCTCTGAGCTCCCTGTGGATGCGACTCCAGCTGGCGCTGTTGCTTACTGTGGAGCACAGAACCTGAGAGCAGCCCTTGCTTGCTTTGAACTGGGCTCCTGCTGCATCAGCTACAGACTGGTGGGGCTCGTGGAGCCAGCAAAGCACTACGGGAACTTGGAGGTAACAGCAAGAAACATGCAAAGCATTCAGATGGAATCCTGGTAGTAGGATTTAAATTTCAGTTTATTGTTTTGTTAAAAAAGCTTGGTTTGGTTTGCTAAACAGATCCATTTTTTTCTACAACTACCAGTTTTTAGCTGTCCTTGAGACTGGGGTATTAAAAGCAACAAATGGATTTCCTCCTTCCCACTCCATGCTTTTCCTGGCTTTTAGAGAACAAAGGCATTTAGAAAGAGATGTCACCTCCTTCAAGTCCCACCTTCCATTTGCAGCAGCAGATTCCAATGAGCTTCAGCAAGTACTTGAATTATATATTCTGTAGGCAGCAGAAGGAAAAGGGGCCCCCACTGCGAGCGTTTGTGAGGGCTTCTTTGCCAAGTTTGTGAGGTGTCTTTGCCAAGGAGTACAGTGGTATTTGTAAATCAGGTTTCAAGAACTCCCAGTGATTAATATTATGTGCTCATTGAGGTAAAACTGCAGGCTCTGACTGATTTAACTACACAGTGAGCTTCTATAAAAAAGTAGTTGGACAAGTTTAAGAAAAGAAGCCAAACATAGGCAAGTTGTGAGGTTATTGTTTATTGTCTTGCAGACCTGCCACAGCTCAGTTCCCACCTTTGCCCTCCCATCTGGGAGCAAACAGACCTGAGCCTCTGCCTCCACCTTACCTGCTCACTTCTCCCCAAAACTGCTTTACTCTCCTGGCACTGGAACTTTACTTTGTATGCAGTCTGAAATCCTCAGGGAACGCAACCTTGCAGCAGCACATTATGGAACTGGGGAATTGGAATTTCTCTTGTAAGATTTACTCAAATGAGGTTTATCTTTAGCACTGAACCCTTTGAGGACACAACTCGTGCAGGAATCTCATCCTGTAGAGCCTCTGTTATGTTAGGAGTGGTTACTGGACTGTTTTTGAAACATAAGGAAGCCCGAGGTTGTTTTCCTTGCAGCCTTGTATCCTGCAGCATAAGAACTTTATTGTCTCAGTACTTCCTCTTAAAGCAAAACAGTTACACAAATGTCATTCTCCTAGTCAGGTTACTACAGCTGCAGCATGCTTTCTGTAAAGACAGAAATCCCTGCAGTCTGTGCAGCCCCAGTAATTTGGTGAAGGTGCAGAAATGCAGGTATTGTGAACAAAAAAAAGGGAAGAAAAATGCACAGACAAAAATCATAGTTTATCTATGGAGATTTATTCCACATGCACCATGTGGATGTAGGGTAGCAGGCTGTGTCTAGATTAGGTTTTTCCTGTTTATTGTGCACCAAATGGCACATACAGGAATATGTGGTTAAGGTACCCCCTCCAGAGCCAGCAACCTTTGTTGGCAGCCCAGCACAATTCAGTTTGGATAGATTTATCCCTTGGATAGATTTATCCTTTCACAACAAATGCAGGCTTGTTATTCTTCAGAAACTGTGAGCTGTTATTTTGGGCAAGTCCCTGTGGTGTTGTTGTGTCCCAGGTGTACATGTTTGAATAGAAAGAAGGAAAAGATAAGTGTGGTTACTAATTACTTAGATTGGCACATTTGTTAGCAAGGGACTCTGAAATGGGTGCTGAGGAAATGAAGATACCTTTATATATTTTTCTTCATTTTCTTCATTAGCAATCATGTTATCTGATTTCATAAAGTCAGCACATTTCTGTGACTCCCCCACTGGACAGCCACAGCTATAGATTCATCAGGAAAATCTGTTTTACATGTTTTAAAACTATGAGCATTGGCTCCTGTTGCAGAACACTGCACACCCTTTGCCTCACGGAGAGCTCTGACATCTCAGAAGATGCCACCTATTAAATCTATTGTGGAATAAACACATATCTAGCATAATATGCTTCTCTACACTATTATTAATAATGTAATTAATTATGCATTACTGAGTGCATATATGCAATAGTAATATTCACTTATGCAATACTTTCTGAAGCTGCAGATGTACAGAACACTTACCCACAGGTTTACCTCTGTGCCAGGAATAAAAACTTACAGCAGGACAGTCAATTTGGGACAAGACACACATGGAAACCCTGAGTAAAGGGTCCTTGAAAAGCAGGGCCACACACACGGGACTACCAATTAAATTCAACTTTCTTGGAGTGTAAATATTCTTTTGCAAGAAGAGGGAAGAGTTAAGCAGCAGCTGGCAGGCCTCAAGGGGGCTGCACGGAGACCAAAGCATCTAGACTATACAATGAGTATTTTACAAGGTATTCTGGGGGATTCAGCGGTGTTCACCGTCTGGTGCAGTTCCTTTAGGATTAGTCACAGTCTTAAAACCACGTATTGTCCTAGAGAAAGCACTCGAGCTCTCCCCAGTGCCCCTCGGCGGTGCCTGGCCCGTCCAGCTGACAGCGCCTGTTCCACCCAGCCCTCCCGCACCGCAAAAGTGATGAGACGGCGAATTTGCGCTCTAATGGGAAACACATTTCCTGCAGAGGCGCAGAGCTTTGTTTTCCCGAGCCTGTCAGTCCGCAGCAGCCCCGGCTCGGAGCTCTTTCCCGGCGGTGCTGCAGACAAAGGGCAGCGGAGCTCTTTGTCCGTGAGGTGAGGCCCGGCCCGGCCCGGCCCGGGGAGCTGCTCGCACCCCCCGCCCACAGAGNACTCAGCCCCCGGCCGGTGCACCCCCGGCTCAGCCAGCCCCGCCGGGGCATGGAGCGGGCGGGGCGCCGGGAGCCGGGCCCGCCCTCCTCTGTCTTCCAGCCCTCCTTTCTCTATTCCAGCCTGCCTTCCTCTGTCTTCCAGCCCTCCTTTCTCTATTCCAGCCTGCCCTCCTCTGTCTTCCAGCCTTCCCTCTCTGTTCCAGTCCTCCTCTCCCGGCTTTCCCGCCCTGCTTTCCCGGGTTTTTCTCCCTGGTGCCTCCGCTTTCTCCTCCTCCCCGAAGTGCGGGATCATTGCTAAGACGTGCGGTCACTGCTCAGCGCTGCTGGAGCATCTCCGAGCAAACCCCCTGAGAGTTTGCCCCCAGAGAACGGTGGGGGCTGGTTTTTAAAGACAGTTATGTGCGCAGAGAGGCGCGGAGTTTCCTGAGTTCAAGTTGTGTGATTGAATCTTAGAATCACAGATTGGTTTGGGTTGGAAGGGACCTTAAAGTTCGGCTCGTCCAGCCCCCTGCCATGGGCAGGGACACCTTCCACTATCCCAGATCCAACCTGGCCTTGGAAACCTCCAGGGATGGAGTGTCCACAGCTTCTCCGAGAAACGTGTGCCTGTTTTTCACCACCTAAGTGTAAAAATGTTTTCATTGTGAATGACTTCTTTCTTATACCTAATCTGAATTGGTTCTGTTTAAAACCATTCCCCCTTGTTCTTTTGAAACAGGTCCTGCTAAAAAGCCTGTTCCCCTATTTTTTATAAGCCCCCTTCAAGTACTGAAAGGCTGCATTGAGGACCCTCTGGAGTTTTCTTTAGCTGAACAAACCAATTTTTCTCTGCCTTTCTTCACAGGAGAGGTGCTGCAGCCCTCCGAGCATCATCTGGATTCACCCCAGCAGGTCCATGTCCTTGTTCTATCCTCTGCAGCTTCTCCTGTATTGCTGGTACATCACAAAAAAGTAATTGTAAGCCAATAATCATTGCCAGGAGCTCCTTCCCAGTGATTCCAGTGCTTCTGCACCCTGGTCATGACACGATTATTGCCACACCACATGGGCATCAGGTACCTTCTGAGCTTTCTTTATATGATGGCACTCTGGGGTTTGGTTGGTTGGTTTTCAAACCTCTAAGGCTCCTTCTTGCAAGCTTTTCTCCAAACTGTTCCGCCTAGACAGAAGTTTTCCAAAAGCATATCTGTGCTTTAGGGTGTGTATATTAACTTTCCCTGGGGTTCTGACACCTTCCCCTCACACAGACAGGGTTATAAGCAGATCCATAATTATCTGCTGATACTTTTAAATCAGCAGAGGTAGCAGCTCTGCTGACTGCAGCCACAGAAAACTGGGATTTCAAATCCAAGTGCAGACATTTGAGTCAGGTCACTTCCCTGCTGTTGGCTGCTGGATGAGATGAAATTTTGGCTCTCACTCAACATCTGCAACCTGAATGCCAACATGCAGGTGGGAGTTCTCAGTGTAATTACAGGGGAAAATTAAAATCAAGCTCTCTTAATCTCCCCTGCCTATTGAGGTCATCTTTAGAAGGCGTAACTGCATTGTATTCAACCATTTAGAGGAAAATTAGTTGTTTTTTTACTTCCTTCATAATGTAGCAAAAAAATCCCTCAGTGGCTGCAGAGAGTTTGTTGGGCTCCTTGAGACATTCAATCTCTGTGCCAAAAGAGTTCAGATCTGTGTAATTCCAACACAAATGTCAGATGGGGAAGATTAGCATCTTCTCAAAAGTGAGCTCATGGTCCCCTCCTATGACTTCTCAGAAAAGGCAATATGACACTTTGGACTCCTTCTGCTTTGTTTATCACGGTTCATAAATTCCTAAGAACAAAATTTCATCTGAGAGAGTCATATGAAGAATCAGTTAAAAAGTGGCAAGCTAACTTGGATGGAGACTTCTGCCTGCTGAAGGGAGTTTTTGTGGAGTTTTGTTGTTCAGGGAGGTTCTATCCCATTGGAGGGAGTTTCCTTTCAAAAAGAATAGAAACAAAAGTGAAAGAGGCAGGGCACTACAGAGCACTCTTGTTCACATTCAGAGTTGGTTTGGATTCTGTGTTTTTCCAGCCCCTTCATGGTTTTCTCCTCAGCTTACAACTTTTAACAGAATTATTTTGTAGGTTAACATACCAATTGAAGAAAGATTTTTTCAAGACCCATATACTCATTTTGTTGCCCTCTACCAGGCATGGTCTGTGTCCCCCTGATCCATTATTTTAAATCCTCCGTGGGTATTTCTGATTTAATACTTGTTTAATTAGTGCCAGTCTTGCAAGGCAAAATTAATGAATTATGATTTGAAAAGAGCAATGGGAAAAGCAAACTCAAATCCATCTCTTCAAAAAATTATGAGTTCTCTATCTTTCTGAAGATTTAAGATCTGAAAATTTCATTACACAATGATAAACAGTTCATGAGTTTCCACACTGATATAGGATATTCCAAAAGTGAAACTCCATTTCCAACATTGAATGCACTTGAAACTCTTTGCTACTTTCAATGCTCACTTTTCCAGAATTCATTTTTGTCTCTAATAAGTGTAAATGTATACTGAAAATAATAATTTTGTTTTAAAGGTTCCAAGAGTTGAAAATGGGTGTTTTGATGAAATTTTGCCACAGTAAGGCTGAGGCATTGACACCAGTGGGAAGGAATGGTGTTAGCATGCTTTTAAACAGAACTAAGTAACTTGTGTTTGTATAGTGCTAGACTAGGACATCTCTCCAGCAAAACCTCTGATACTTCCTGGCTGCTTCATCCCATTAAAGCCTACTCACTGAGCCATTTAATTAGAGATAAACCTTAATCTGTCCTGTGGACTTAGGTTGTGTCACTTGGCATGCGAAGGAAACACATGGCAGGGGACCTGCCACACTTGTCCTGCAGCAGTGTGACCAGCAGGAATGTGAAATGGCTCTGAAAATGTGTAAAAATGAAGGAAGAGTGACTTGAAAAAGTCCTTCAGCTCCCATTCCTCAGTGATTGCAGTGATGGGGGTGAGGAAGATGTTTTCAGAGAGGATGTTTTCCAAGGCAGACAAAGCAGAGTTGACTTTCTGGTACGTAGCAGTTCTTGACTTTGATTTCTCTGCTGAGCAGCAAAGGGGGTCGTGTTTTCCATCACAGCATGTAATTAGTCATGAACAGCCTCACCCTGCTAAAGCCCCCCACTTAAGCAGGCACAAGGAGCCTGCAGCCAGCACAGGGTCAGCCTTGCAGTGTGGTCCTTAGCCCTGCACATGTGCTGGACAGATCACATCTGGCTCCTGTGGCTTGTTCATTCCTTCATGGTCCCTGTGCCAGATTCCAACCTCACGCTTTTCTGTCAGTTGTAAACCAGCTCAAATCCATGAATTCATTGTGATTTGTACTGTCATGGGATCAGGACCTGTTTATCAGTGCAATACCCTTTTGGCCTATGGTGTTACACAAACAACTGCAGTGGTTTGGCTGGCCCAAAACACACCTATGAATTAAATTTGTCAGACTTGGCATCTCTCTTTAAATGCCCAAGCAGTGGATTTGATAAAAAAAGCATGTTCATAGACATGCCACAGTCATGTCCAAAAGTGCTGGGGAAAGAGTACTCCAGGTCTAACTTTGGATCTCTCCATTGTGGTTAAGAAAATATTTAACTAAAAATAAATAGCTTTTGCCTGTTAATACACTGTATCTATTTTAAGCTGTTCTTAACTTTTGTCAGTTATATAGGGGCACTTCCAAAAGTATATTGTCTTTTATGACTGCTCATTATGAAATCTCTCTTTGAAAGATTTAGTGTCATAAAATCACTGAATGGTTTGGGTTGGAAGGGGCCATAAAGCTCATCCAGTTTCACCCTCCTTGCCATGGGCAGGGACACCTCCCACTATCCCAGGTTACTCCAAGCCCTGTCCAACCTGGCCTTTAACACTTCAAGGCATGGGGCAGTCACAGCTTCTCTGGGCCACCTGTGCCAGGGCCTCACCACCCTCAGTGGGAAGAATTTTTTCCCAATATCTGATCTAAATCTATCCTCTCTCAGTTTGAAGCCATTTCCCCTTGTCCTAACACAGGTACTTCCTCAGCTTTCAAGCACCAGGGATTGTCACGAGGCATGTCCCAGGAAAGCACCACGAGTTACTCACTGGATGAATACAGCTGGTTTCACTAAGGTGTCCTGACTCAAGATTCCTTCTCACAGTGGGGGTTTTTTTAACACAAATAATTTTCATGTCATTGCTTTAATTATGATTTGTAGTGCCACAACAGAGAGTTTCTGTTTGACAGGAAGGTCTCACCTTTCAACAATTCTGTTTGTCTTAGAATGGAAGATTTTGGTTAAAGAAAATTTTCTGAATACGTCATTTTGGAATAATTGAAATGACTTTATCATGGCAATAATGTATGTATTCATTGTAAGGAATACATGGTTCTGCTTTCCTGTATTCCTCAGAGATCTCTGAAGCTTCAGCAGCTCCTTTCAACTGCAGATTCCCAAGCTGGACCTGGCCATGTGGCTGTTCCCTTATTACACAACCAGTCTTGTGTGAAGTACTAGATGATGCTCCATGGCTAGGGGAGCAAAGGGAATGTTTATAGATGCTCTTAAGTCTTTTTTTGTGTTATGCTAACTGAGTGATAATGGTGAAATAGGTTCATTGCAGTCTCAGCTCTGGAGGGAGCTGGGAGGAGATCCATAACACATCCATCTGCCTCCACAACATTTCAGAAAGAGGAAGAATTGTCCCTGGCACACAGCAAAGCCTTGCTATGCAATCAGCTTAAGCCTTGAAGCATGAAATTTGATTTTCTTTACCATAGGTGAGAGCTTTTAAACTCCACTGAAAATGGAAGACAGATATGTCTCTTTAGGGTGCCAGTTATGTATGCAGAGAAATTTGTTTTGAGGCTTCTTCTCAGCTAAGAATCTGTCACAGGCATCACTGTGAATTCAGGGAGTCTGGCTCAGGGTCCAGCCAGGTGAGTCAGGGTTAGCCAGACTGTCCAGAGGCTTGTGAGCAGGAAACACGAGTCAGTGGAAGCTCTGCAAGACAGGAGGAGCTTGAATTACTGGTGGAGATTGCTGGATTATCAGTTGGAGCAAAGCTGAAAGGAAACCCTGGCCGTGGTAAATATGCCAATCCCATCACGGTGCTGATAAACAATACACGTGCTTTATGTTATAAAGGTACTGTATAAATTATCAGTTGCAGACATTGTAGTAGAATTTTGTGTATCAGCATCTTTGGTGACCAGTTGGTCACCTAACTGCAGAGGCATTTGCCTTCTGTCCTGAAAATGGGTCATTATAGGGCAGGGAGCAGAAATTCCCCATAGCTACTGCCAAAGAGAGCATTGAAACAGCTCCAGGGCCAGTTTGCCACAAGAACAGAGACTGAATTGATCTGGGGCTGAAAACAGATGGCAAATTTTGCCAGATGCAAGATGTTTTCTTGGCCTTGTATGGCACTGAAACTCAGTGAACAGAAAGCTGGAGGAAGAATAGAAAGTGAAGCAGTCTCCTGGGTCAGTATGCATTTCAGTTTCATCATTCCTACTCCAAAGTTGTGTAATATTTAACTGAAAAAAGAGATTTATAACTATAACAATATTTAACTAAAAAGCAAATTACAGTGTACTTCATCGAGCTGCAGTATATTTACTCTTGGACTAAGACTTTTTGCCTTTCCTCACTAATTTTCAACTTAAGCTAACACTGATTGGCAAAACAAGAACTTGAGTGTCTGGGAATAAAACTCATATAACAAACACTTCCCTGGGCTCTTTGAAGCAGGATTTCCTTATTTAAAGTAGAGAACATAGCATTTTTTTTACAAAACCCCACTGGTTTAAGAGCTAATGATTGCTACACAGCAATCAATTTGCTTATTCTGGGTAACCCACAGCACTTGTCTTTTTCCATTAATTTTTAGCTAGCCCTGAGATGTAACTTAATACAGGAGTGCTCCACCAAACAAACCCAGGAGACTTGTTCATATCTTAGCAGGCAAAACACTCCCAACTTGCATTTCCAACTTTGTTCAGTCATTACTCTTATTTGTCTGAACACCACAACAATATTAGCAGATTAACTACTGCTGTGGTCACAGAGTTTTTAAGTAATCCATTAACCAGAAAGGTGATTCAGGCAATGCAAATAAAGGCCATCTGAAAACAAAATGCAAGATGTCAACACTTGGAAGGAATGAGATTTCACAGAAGTGATCAGAACCTTATCAAAGTATCATCCTTCATTGTTCCAGGTGTCTCCTCAGACCAGAGTGCACAGGATTCAGCAATCCCTTTCATTTTGGATGAGGATTCCAGGTGGACTTTAAGGGTTGTTGGGTCTTTCTGCAGCTGGAAGCACAAGCCCCTTAAATTCTGCACTCTCCTTGGTGCAGCCACAGTTCCTGAACTGGGAAAAGGAGACACGACCAGATGCTTCCAGTGGGGGAGAGGTGGCACAAAGGGTGAGCTCAAGGGTCCTGCAGTGATTCTGAGGCTTTGCAAATTCCCTCTGTCCCCATGTCTGCAGAGGAGCCAGGCAAGCCTTGAGCCCCCAGAGCCCTTGTCCCACTTTGCAGAGCATGGCCTGCCCTTCCTGCTCTCTGCTGGACCAGGACAGTGGTCAGTGGGACCCCTGTGCAAAGACAGGTCACAGAGGAAGGGTGAAACCCCCACTTTTTAAAAAAAGCTTGATTCTGGGTTTTCTGGGAGATTTTTCACAGCAGCAACACCAAACCTCTACAAGGACACGGGTAAAATCACAACAAACTGCATAAGGGCAGAGAAGAATGGAAGGAAACACTTAAAACCATTTCTCTGCCAAAGAAAATATCCATATGATGACATCATCTTGATATAGGTGACCTTTTTTGAGTTTATACAGATTTGTAGATGTAATAAGGAAAAGAAAAAAAACCCATCAGATTTTATGGTGAAGGAGGAAAGACTGGAAACAGAGCAAAAGAATGTGCTGGGGGTTCAAACATAAACCCAGATATTGAAGGAATCCAGACTTGCCTGTAAAATATTTTGCAAGAGTAAAATAATTTCAAAACTTTTTAATGATGAGTGTTGGAAACTTGTCTTGGCAGAATCAGTGCATGAGATTGCCATGGAGAAGGCTGGGGAAGATGTTTGGGCCCTTATTAAAACTACATGGACATAAATACAGATGCAGGAGTTCAGCTTGAGGTCTATGTTTTGTGCCAGTATTGCCTGACTGGGTAAGATTTTGCACTTCTTTAGTTTCCTGGATAATTTCAGGGTTTGGGTATATACTGGCTAAAGTGGTCAAGGATTTGTGGGGTTTGGGATAAGAAAATGTTGGAACTGTTGCAACAGAATGTTTACATTAAAAGAATAAATGCAAAAGTAATTTCTGTATAACAAGGAAGAATTATCCCCAAAGAGTGCTTGAAGAATAATTGATGACTACAATCAGCCACTAAAATAGCTCTTCAGCACAGTTAGATTGTAAATATACCTCCATGACTAACTTAATTAGAACAATTACCAGGGGACTTGCCTTGGCTTAAAATAATATGTCCCTTTTTATGACTTTTGGAGACAGGTGAACTTGATCTTCTTGTCTTCTCTAATGCTCACATCCAGTAACATATTTGGGACAATTAGGTCTTTAATCACCTAAAGAAAACATATCATCACTCACTCTGGCAGCAGAGAACTGTTCCCAGCACAGAGATTGTTCTGGTGTGCAACTCAAGGGCTTAATTTAAAAAATGGACCTGAATGATACAGATGCACTTTTGTGAAAGGAAAACATCAGGACATTATGACATGGCTTCAGAAAAATAACTTCCCCTCCTCTGTTGGTGTCGTTGGTGTCAGTGGGAGGAGCAGGATGTGATAATTGGACAGGATCTGATATCCAGCTATCCAGGCAAAGCACAGCTGGGGAGAGATGATTAGGAGATGCAGTGAGGTGTTAGATGTGCTCAGTCCTTCTCAAAGGAAAAGAGCTCCACTTCTGCCTTCTTCCCATCTTGTTCCTGACTCTGTGGTCTTGCTGCTTACCTTGGATCATCTCTGGTGCTCATCAGAGCCAGTACAGCTCATTATTCCCACAAAACACCAGAAAGTTCTCTTACTGGGCTGGCAACAAGGACTGGCTCAGAGAAGAGCCCACAAGCCCAGGGCAGTGCAAGGAGAGGTGGGAGCCAGTTCCAGGGTGAGGATGACCCTTCCCTGGCCATGAGGAGGGCTCAGCTGCCCATCCAGCATCAGCCTTAGCCATTCCAGAGTGTTTTTGCCAGTGCAGAGGTTGGATCTGGCTCATCTTCAGGCACTGGCTTCTTTTAAGTTGATTGTTTAAAGAAAAAGAGTAAATGAATGGCTTTCTCATCACCCCTGCCATCAGTTTTTACTGAGTGCTTTCAGGCTGATGAAACTCTTCTGTCAAAGAGATTAGTGGGGAAAATCCTACCTGTTATATAACACTCATTTTGGGGAAAAAACACTCTTTATGAGAAACACAATGCTTATTTCCTCCAGTGAGATTAACATTGGTTTTGTTTTCCTTTTTTTTGTTACTAGCAGTTCAATGTTTACCTTCAAGGCTCTCTGAAGGGAGTTGCCCACAGAGCCACAGTTGAACTTGCTTTCTGTTTCAGCCACCTCTTGAAGTCCTTTCCAGGCAGAAGGACAGGTCTCACCTGGCCCCAGGTGAAACCTCAGTCAGACACAGCTTGAGAGAAATCACCAGCAGCTTTCCTGAATTGGTGGTTTGACCATCCCAGTGGCAATATCCATTTACAGCTCCCACTTCTTTTCACTGTGTTTGAAAGACAAATTCAGTTCCCCAGACAGGTGTGTGGTGTGGTCACATGGAGGGTTTTGCTGACCTCCTTAAGAGGAGCTGCAGGGCAGGGTGAGAAATCCCATCCAAGGCTGTGGCTTGAGCTGCCCTTTAGTGAACAGCCTGGAAAAACGAGTCAGTCCCCCCCACACCTCCTTCCACTTCAGCTTCCCACCCAGGTGTAAAAATGTGCTGGTGTTGCTCCCTGCCAGCTCCCAGCTGTGTAAAGGACATCTGCCTTATGAAGGGAAACACAGATCCTTCTCCCATGTAACACCTTTTACAGAGGTTCACAGACCTGGGGAAGCATCTCTGGCTTGGCTGTGAATGTCATGAGGTGGATGTGCATTTTTAACATGAGACTTTTGAATTCACTGTCATCAACTGAAACAGGAGAATGGAGAGTGCAGTTGCAATGTTTATTTGAGCAGTGAGGCTACTATAGAGCTCATGGGGTCTGCCAGTGCTTGTGTTTGGCTGATTGCTGATAGCTATGCAGATTTTATGTGAATTCAAGATAGCAGAAGACAATGAGGTGCTGTTGAAAATCCAGACAGAAAGGTTATTGGGATTGGCCAAGAGTTGTTTGGAGTGAATACCCAAAGAGTGCTCAGCTCTGTACATAACTTCGTTTTCAATGTGCTTCCTTAAGAAACATTTACTACCACTGCCCCTCTGTCACATGGAAGAGGTGCTGTTTAGTTTCTATCACTCAAAACTGATAAAGTGTCCACAAGCAAGGATGCTTCTTTAGAAAGCCCTTTTTTGCAGCTGGTTGTAAAACAGCAGTTTTGTTGTCCTTGCAAGATTTTAATAGGGAGGAAGTTAGAAATATAAATACCCCATCCATAGCCTATTTATTCTGCTCATTTCCTATTTCCTTGCTCAGAAATTGTCTCGGGGTCACTTGAGGCTGTAACTGGAGATGCACAGCAGCTCTCACCAGGCTGCCTTGCCTCCTGCGGGCTCAGATTTGCCACATTCAGAGTGAATCAAATTGTTCCAGAAAATTACATGCAGTCCCAAAAACAGTTGTGTACAGGTATGGGGAATCTGATCTGTCCTGAATATTTATAGTAGTAGTAGTAATTTGTTTGTTTTCTTGTGCTTGTCTTGCACAGCTACAGAGGCATTTGTTCTCCAGGGCCCACAATAGCTGGATGGGGATAGCAGAGATTGCTGTGATAATCTGTTTGCAAATAATGATTAGCAGAACAATGCACTAAAGCTTTGAAGATTCCCACAAAGAATTCAGCATGTCTGAATTAACCACAGGAAGGACTGGGGTCTGGGTCTGGGGGAGGGCTACGGCAGCAGGAGATGGAAGCTGGCGGGAGGAGATTTTTGGTATGAAGAAAAGCAGATGTGAACACAGGGTTTGTCCATACTCTCTTCCCAAGCACCACTTCCTCCCTGCTGAGGAGGCACATTTTTCCACTGTGTAGGAACAGGCTCCCATCCAAATCCAGTGCTGATGCCAGCCCAGAGTCAAGCCTGAGTATGGATCAGCAATGCTCCACCTCTGCTAAATATGTCCCTGAAGCTGGTCTGTGATTCCCAGCATCAAAAACAACATTGCAGGAAGAACAGGAGCAACACCAGAATTGCAGGAATCAGGTTGATTCTGTTGCCTTTGGGAATTTTAACACTGGGTCACAAGGAAAAAGAGCTGGGAGAAGCTGGGTGCCACCACTCAGCAGGTTGCTTTAGATTTTAAGTTTCTTTGTGTTAAAAGTAAGTCAGTTTTCTTCAACACTGAATCTTTCTGAAGGTTAGAGGCAGGGATTCACAGAGCTATCATTGCCTTACTCAGAAAAGAAACTGTTACACATCAAAAGAGGTTTAATCACCTCTTTCCTTCCCTTCCAAGTCTCTCCTTCCATCAGAGAGAGGCAATATTGCCAGCCAGCTGACTGCCAGGGTCTCCAGGGTATGGTTCTTAAAACGCAACACAGGAAATTCCCCAAATTTAAAAAAATGCTCCAGAGGCAAGATTTGTAGGAAAAACCCAGTAACTTCTGCTTCATTTGCACTTTGCAAATCAAAAGAGAGGCCTGAAGGGTAGGCTGCATTCCTTGCTTTTAATCCTGGCTTGCTGTGGGTCTGACTCAGGCTGTGTCTGATCCTTGAGGTCACATAGTGGTTTTAACACCAGAGTTGCATGTGAGCAAAGCACTCCAGTGATGCTCTCTGTTTAGGCATGACCTGCAAGCATGCAGCAAGTGGGGGATGTGTCTGCAGTGTGACCCTTCAGCTGCTGGTGCTCACCTGCATCCCACTAGATATAAATCTGTGAGTTATTGGTTCTCCTCAGAGAACCTCTCTCCTTAGAGCCAGTCCTGTTGTAACAGTCTCCACAGTCCCAGAGCTGTTGTCACTGCTCATGATGGAGTGCACGGAGAGAGGAAAAAATTCCCTCTGAGCTCATTATTTTGTGGCTGAAGGCTGAATGTCCTCACCCTCCTCAGAGTGACAAGCTGACAGGTCCCCACAGGTCTGAAGAGAAAACATCTTGTGTTCCTGGCCCTTGCTTTTGGGTTTTTCTGAGCTCTGAACTTCTTCCTGGAATTTTTAGGGCTGGGAACTTACCTTTGGTTTCTTTGGAATCAGTGCTTGATTATTCACCTGTTTCTGAGGAGGTGTCAAACTGATCGAGATGCGAACCCAGGGGAGATCTGCCAGCCCAGAGCTCCTGAGAGCTATGCTGGGCTCTTTGTCAGATTTCTCTAACTTTAGCTGGATTATTCAGCTTTTCTTCCACCCTGTGTCCCTGTCTTCAAGGAGAACATCAGGTGAAAGAAATCCCAGAACCCAATGCCCCCCAGGCAGGTTGTGAAGAATTCATGCCTGAAGAGCACTTTGTGGGAATCGACTTTTAAGACTGAATTATTGATGCATTGACAAACCTCTGCTTTCTTTTCACAGGGAAGGAATGTCATGAGAAATAGACTGCTTACAAACCCTGCTAATCAGATAATCCTTGAACATGGTGCAACTCCAGACCTGAAGTCCCCATATCTGTATGGATAGATGTAGAGGTCTATTCTATGAATGAATGCACACTCCTACCTAAACCTGCACACAGACATTTGAATATATGTATATATTGCAGATCTAATTCCTCCCAGTGTATGGTAATCCTGGTTTGGTGCACTTAGCAAAACTTTGACTTATTGTGCTTTTAATATTCTGCATGACATTCATCCCCAGGCGGAGTTCAGCTGTAGTTGAGACAAATGTGTGTTTTGCCTGTGGGACACCTGCTATTGCACTTTCTTAACATGGAGAATGTTAATTTTTTTAAGGAAATACTGTTCACTGTTTGGTAAGCATGTAGCTCTCCAAAATTCTTGTCAGGCTACTTTGTTGTTTCTGACAGCCTGGAGCAGAGGTTTGATGTAAGTTTAATGTATATTTACACTGACCTGGAGAATTTGCAGTTCTTGTAAAACAAGATGTTTTACAAGATTCTAATCTTATTCTAGTTTCTTGTTCTAATTGCCTCTTTCTTTTCCTCAGCTTTATGTCGGTAGCAGGTAATATCCAACCTGGCTTCCAAAGTTTCTTATCTAATTTCTACATTTTGGTGTCGTCTCAACTGTTACAGCAGAGTGCAAAAGTCTCGTAAGGGTAAGAGAAAGTGAGCAGGGTGTAAGAGTCAGGTGATCCTAGACAAGATTTTTATTTTCTGAGCAGAAATGTTCAGGTGCAGGAAGCTTTAGCTGAAGTAAATATAAAGGCTTTAGGTTGTGTTCAGATTAAGACATTATTTGTTCACCCAGCAGTATCAGCGATGACAGATATATCTGTGTCACTGCAGAAGGGTTTGTGCTTTATCCTGACACTGGCAGAACCAGCAAAAAGGTCAGCCAGTGGTCACATCATGGAGCTGAATGCTTTCACAGATTGAACATTTGTGCCCCAAGGAGCACAGGGGTTTTTAAGGTATGCGGTATCTACTTTTGAAATCCAGTTTTCAAAAGGAAAAAAAAATATATATATGAATAAAAAAATTATATCTATGTATATTTCTGAAGCATTTCTTCCTAGTCATGGCAGTTTAACATTGCTGTGGCTCAGTTCTGTGCTGAGTGGAGGGAACACAGCTTGGGCTGTGCTGCTGGCATATGAGATAATCTAGTCATGACTTGCTGTGACTTTCTTGTTATGAAATCACTGATAGTGGATAAATACAGGACATCTGCCTTCAATCCCTTCTAACACCTCCTTTTTTGACTGTAAATAAGTGCTCAGTGTAGCACTGACCCGAACTGAAAATTGTAAATGTGCAGTGATGAAACCACAGAGCTCTGCAGTGAGACATCGGGGACAGGAGTGATCCCTGCAGGAATCCCAGAGGCACAAATTGTGCTGGGGACTCACCCAGCTAATGGGATTATCGAGGAAAAATGTCGTGCCCTTCAGGAATGCAGCGAGGGGTCTATTGGAACAAGCACTGCAATGTTAGAGTGCAGCCTTACCCTGCAGCAAAGCCAAGGAAATGACCTGTGGGTGCTGCAAAGGGACTGTTGTGTCACTCAGCTGCTGCTCCCAGCAAGCAGCATTCACCTGTCCCTGCCCTGGGCCAGCCCACGGAGCAAAGCAAGATGTGGAAACAGCTCCACGTAAACAGAGAACAATTTCTTTTGGCATTGCATCTTTTGGCAGTTTGCTCCCTGACTGGAGTTTCCCCAAAAGTTTTATTTTCACAGCTGATGGTTTTCAGTTTGAAATACGTGTCAGTGTCTTTGGGACCTTGCATTGGATGTGGGCCTGTCCTCGTTCCAATTCACAGCAAAAGCCACATGAGCTGCAGCAGGAACAGGCTCATTTTATGGCTCACAGCCTGGAAATGCTCTTCTCAACACAGCGTGGTTTTCCAAAACTGGATGTGATCAACAATATCACTGCAGTGTTTTGTTAGGTTAGATGGCCAAATAATCTGTGAAGAAGCCAAATACAGACATGCTTTCCTTTACAGTTAGTAAAAAATGCTTTAAAAAAACAGGTGAAGAGTTGCCAAGTGTTCCTTGAGTTTTAAGTTTAATGAATATTTTCAGTTTAGAAGTTATTTACTCTGACTGGATTTGTAGATCAAAGAGGAGAAAACCTACCTTGACTTAAAAGTCAAAGAAAAGTACTTGTCTTTTTACTTATTTCACCTTTCAGCTCTGATGGACTTAAAAACAAAGCTCTGGTAATGTGTTTGTGTATTTGTCCAAGTCCATAAAGATAATCTTAGCCCTCAAGGGCTTACAGTCAAAATCATTTGTTTGCAGTTCCTTGGGTACATTAAACCAAGCTGAGCAGCACCAATGGAAGTGTTGTGATAGTTCACCTCCACTGTACTTGCAGGGCTGATGTCTTATAAAAACCCAGCTCTGCATGGATAATTAAATCTGTTGCTGCTGTCAGGCTGGTAGGAATGTCTTTCTGTTGTAAAAGCCTTTCACCAATTGCACCTGTAATCACAGAAGAATCTCTCAGTGAAGCACCTGAGGCATGCAGGGAATGCAGAACTGCACCCAGCAAGATGCTCTGACTGATCCCATTCCTCCCCAGTCACTCTGCTGAGGATGCTTTCTCACACTCTTGTGAAATGGTAACTCGAGAGGGGAATTCCGTGGCTCTCCCCTCCTGACACTTTCAATGCATTTCCCAGGCCTGTTTTTCCATCCTGCAGTGTAGAATTGATTTTGGTGAAATCTTGAGTGAATTAAACTGCAATACAGTGATCTCCTTGCTCAACTCATATTTGCTGCCTGCCTTATTTATGTGAAGAAGAAGCACTTGGGCATGCCAATTATTCTGTCATTTATTTGCCTTGTGCATCGTGCCTTTGGCTACCAGAATTAAACTGGAAAATACAATTAAAAGCATTAGCTTTAGCAGACATACAAAAAAATATCATTACATGCTTGACAATGTTCTCCTTCATATTGTTAATCCCTGCAGATCTACCTGTGCTATTAGATTTCATATACAGATTTTATTTTTCTCAGAAGACTACATTAATTGGAACAAGGATTCCTGTTTGTGTAAGGAAAAAAAAAGGAAGATGTCACCATGCTGGAAAGCCTCGCCTGACTTTTCCTGGTGAGTATGGTCTAAACTTGATCTTGAATTGAGCAAATATTATTCAAGCTTCAAAATGTTTGCAGATAGCTGGACAGTGTTGTTTGGTAACGTGTTTGCCTTGCTGCACTGTGGAAAATATTTGTGTGTAAACTCAAATTGTTATATAAACACAAATTTTTACATAAACAAAGTTGGTCTGTGATGAAAAGCAGAGAGGCAGCTCAGATGGGATCTGGGCATCTGGATCCTTCCTCCTTACACACCTCACCAGGGAGCATGGGCTTGAGAACCAGGTTGGTGATATCTTGCAAGGAGCAAACC